TACTAAACTCTACTTGGAAGTACGGTAAACTGTCCTCAAAGTCAATTGAAGAGTGACTTTTCCATCCAATGTTTTTCTTGTAATTTAACTAGAATATCGTAGAGGAAATTGAAGAAAGTAAAAAGATTTGTTAAAATCTGGTATCTGCTGTGACCACCGGGGACAACACATTACAGAGATCCTAGTGAGGGGCTCCAAATGCAGGTGGAGAGAGGAAAGTACAACCATTGAAAGCGAGGGGGAAAGTTAACTATTCTGTAGGGGCACAGGACTCAATACATACCGAAAGGCAATATTTCCAAACATTTATGTAAATGTATGAGAACAAGCCTGAAGGGCAGGTTTCCTTAGAAATTTTCCATAGAGTTCTTAAGTGTTTTCCTTGACCTATCTCCTCAGGTTCTTTTTGTTTATTCTTAGTTTTGTTTTTTGTTTTTTTGTTTTGAGAATATATAGAGATCAAATTCATCAATTTCTGTGTATCCCAATTGAGTCACTTTGATTTCATTCAAATTATGTAACCATCCTCATCCTTTACAGAATCACATTTCTCCATTGACATAAATTCACTGCCCCCTAAATTTTCTAAAATCCAAGTTCTTGTCAATTTGATCTCACATAGCTAGTTCTTACAAGAGCACTACCTGAAAATCAGACATTATTAACTAAGCAAACTCACTGCTTGATTTTAAAACATGGAATATTTTTAGTTTAAGGTATAAAGATAAGGAAGGCAATAGATTGAAGGATTCATCCAGCCTCAGTGATTCCACAATATCTTTAAGAATTTTTAATTCCGTTCTTCATTTCCTTCTTTGGATGAAGGTTCTTCCCTGGAATATTACCAGAACATTCAGTAATGATAGCCAGGCACCACTCAGTTCTTGTCTCCTGGCAAAGTCAGCCTCTGTTATGGAGGCAATGGCCACACATTCTATATCAGTGGTTCTTAACCTTCCTAATGCCGTGACCCTTTCATACAGTGGTGACCCCCAACCATAAAATTATTTTCATTGCTACTTCAGAACTAATTTTGCTACTGTTATGAACCGTAATGTAGATATCTGATATGCAGGATGTATTTTTTTGAAGCAGGATGTATTTTCATTGTTACAGATTGAACATAATTAAAACAGTGATTAATCACAAAATATTATGTGAAATATTTATGTGTTTTCTGATGGTCTTAGATGACTCCTATGAAAGGTACGTTCGACCCCCAAAAGGGTTGCATCCCACAGGTTGAGAACCGCTGCTCTATATCCTCCTAATTGAGACTTTCCTTCCTCTGTTGCCCTTGGTGAATAGAGGCCAGCTGTTCTTGGGTGACCATTTGCAAGCTTTTAAGATCCCAGGTGCTATGAACTGTAAGAAAGAACAGAAGCACTAAATGTAATGGTCAATTAACTGGAATAGTCCCTGAAATCATGACCTAAACCTCCAAATAAAGAAATACATTGTATGAGCCTCAACACCTTTTTACACGTGTACAGCTTACTGATAATCAATTCCTCGGTGGTGTAACCTTTATCTTTAGTGTGAAAACCCTTTAAACCAGCACTGAGTGTTCTGTAAGCATTAACTCCCTCCTTCCTTCCCCGAGTAACCACTAAGAGACTTTGGTCTCTATACATTTGCCTGTTGTCTTTGTATGTGTCAGATCATACAATAGTCATCCTTTTGTGATGGAGTTCTTTCATTCAGCATTACGTCTTCAAGTTTTATCCATGTTGTAGGCATGTACCGAGCCTTCATTTCTCTTTTTGACTGCATAGTATTCCATTGTTGTGTCGGTATCACATTTCGTATATCCATCCAGCCATTGATGGACATTTAGGTGGTTTTCACTTTGGGGCTATTGTGAGTTTTAAAGTCCTTGGTTGTTTTCCTAGCAGAATTGCTGGGTCATTCTTAGATTTATTATTTTTATTTATTTATTTAAGAACCCCCAAATTCTCCACAATAGCTGTACCATTTTACAAGTGCACCAGCCATGGATCAGCTTTTCACACATCCTTGCCAACTTTTACTTTCTGACTTTATTACATTTTGTTTTTTAATTTAGCCATCCTAATGGTTTGTTTTCATAAAAAAAAATAATAAAAGTTGAGGATGGGGAGAATTGATGTGCTAGGAGGTTGCGTGTGGCTGCTAACTGCAAAATCAGCAGCTCAAAACCACTAACCAACCACTCCTTGGGAGAAAGATGAAGCTTTCTCCTCCCAGTGAGGTATAGTATTGGAAATCCACAAGGGCAGTTCTACTCTGTCCTCTAGGATCACTGTAAGAATTGTCTCGATGGCAGTGAGTTTGGCAGTTTTTGAGTGGATGTGAAGTGGTATTGTGGTTTTGGGTTACGGTCCTCGGATTCTTATTTGCTAACTGAACGCCATCTGAATGACTTAAACTCCTCTTGAGGCTAACTACTTGCTCCCTTAAGGATTGACAGCCTCAAAACTATATAGCAGTACTGGGACTTGAAATCAACTTTCTGGCAATGTTGTTTTGTTTGTTTGTCTTTCTCCTATCATTAGCCAAAACCTACACACTTTCACTTCATCCCCTCCTTTGATTATCTGTCCACCAGCCATGCAGTCTTCATTCTTCTCAAGTCCTGCTTGACTGCTTCCTTGTGCATCCCTCTGGTTGAGGCAATCCCGAGTATTTTTAGACTCCAGCCACTCATCTACCTCTTCCCTCTCACATCAATAAAGATGATCTGTTTCCTTTTTTGTCTACAGTCTTGTCCCCCAAACATCTAGTCTCCATACAGATAGCAGTGACTTAAAAGGTCTTTCCGTTTAAAGACTTTAAGTTAAAATGTTAAAGCACAGATGAGAACATTAGGGACGAGAGAATCTAGATTAATGATAATGATTGATGCTATGGGTTGAACTACAATGGTGACGCCAGGAAGTATGTAGCCAACCTTGAAATGTACAAGTAGAAATGACTGAAATGGATATATGGTTGGGAAGGCCCCACGGAAGTGGATTGGCCCTGTGCCCACAATAATTAGTTCCAGAATAGGAGCAATTGTGAAGGTACAGGAGCAGGCAGCGGGTGTACCCTTCTGTTGTGCATGGGTCCCTACAGGTCAGAGCCAACTCAATGGCGCCTAGCAACAAAGACGCTGTCATAAATATTTTATCACTGCATAGCTGCTCAGAACCTTTACTGTGTGGCTGTGTTAACGCATTTAAACAGTGTGCCCAGACAGTGTTAAAAGAATTGCCTGTCAAGTCATCGTGGAAGACCCATGTTCTATGGAGCCAAGTTTAGAAAAAGCTTGCCCACAAAGTATACCCTTTCATTAAAGCATGCCATTGTTTTACTCTTGGTACTTTTGTTTTACGCCATCCTCATCTCTCACCTTTCCTCTCAAATTTGAGGACCTCAGGATGGCTTATAGTTACCTAGAGATACCACACTATTTCAGTGATCATAGGAGTTCACCCTTCCCTCTTCTCGTCCATGTAACGATTCCTTTCTCCAAACCTCTTAGCTCTTCAAGATTTTACTCAGACATTACCCTCTCCAGGGAGCATTCTCTGATACTCCTAGTTTCATGTGAGCAGATGGTCTTCCTCTGTGTTCCGGATGTGACGTGAAACTAAAATGATAGCAGCAAGCTCTCTACATCTCCTTAAAAATAGTTCATAGGATACACAAATCAGACAAATGTCAAATGTGCAATTAGAGTCCTGAAAATTACCTTATATAAGTTCATTGTTTTATGGAATTTTCCATGTTCTATATTCAGGTGACTGAATCCTTTTAGTGTCATTTAACATGTTTTTCAGTCCCCCACAACTGAGAGTCCCCTCATACAAATTTAGATTAATCTAGGATCTTAATTAGATTCAGGTTAGATTCCTTAACAAGAGTTTGTCTTAGGTCATGTTCTATAATTCCTATCAGGAAGACACACTATATAGTTGCTCCACTTTCCTATGCTGTTTACCAGCAAACTACACGAGTGGATGTTATATTGTGCCAACACGTTGAGACCTCATGTTAGCTACTATCTTTGCCCTAATGTACTAACCATCCTTCTAAATAAGAATTGAGGGGGCTGGGGTGATACAGATAATCCAAGACATTGAAGGAAATTATCCATTGGTCACAGCTGGTTATTGCCAGTTAGATGCATGTACGGATCCAATTAGCTTCCTTTATCTCCAGTATCTACTAGAAAGCACGTGCTACTCAAATTAAAGATGGCCCGTATGTTTTGGGGAGTCTGAATAGGCAAAAGTAATAAATGTTTACACACTACAAATAAATTAGATGTACTAATGCTAGTTAGCAACTGTTAGTCTAAAGCGCAAATGAGAACTTTTTTTTATCAAGAATCCACAAATCTATTAGAAGACAATTTCATCTTTAAGACAATTTCTCATGGCCATTAAGTCAATGGTGACCCATTAGCGACCCCCCTGTGGGCTTCCCAGACTGTAACTGTTTATGGGAGTAGAAAGCCCAGTCTTTCTCTCTCAGAGCTGTTGTGGTTTCAAACTGCACACCATGGGATCACAGCCCAAGGCATAACCACTACACCATCAGGGACCCCTGTACTAAATGTAAAATTTTATTTGATTCATGTCTAAAGAGACTCAACTATATGATATAGTTGGACTACTGTCATAACTTAAGACTATTTGCTTCTTGCTTATGCCAACTTGTTTTTGTGACGCTTCCCTCCCTCCCTCCTAGGCTTAACTATTCCTGCTGATACTCTCAAATGTGTCTATCTGAAATTCATTTTCTCAGTCCTTTCAATTTGCTGCAGCCATAGAATCAAAACATCTAAGCTTGCTGGACTTCTCTGCTTTGTTTTCAAACACTTACAATTGCTTGAGCTATAACAGTCATATCAATGCATTAATCCATAAACTCAGAATTTATGATTTTACTAAGTTATGCATGAAATGTTTAATAATAGCCCAATATTATAAATAAAACCTGGTACTTCTAATTATATATGTTTTTTTAATTAGATTACACCACCACCTTCACTGTCAGATCCACTTAAAGATCTTTTTCAGCAGCAGGAAGTTGTAAGGATGAAACTACGTTTACAGCACAGCATTGAAAGGGTAAGAAATACTTATATTTATGCTAAAAAAACAAACCCGTTGCGATTGAGTTTATAACAAGTATAACTCCGTAGCATAAATCTTTGCAGGAGTAGACAGCCTCATTTTTTTCCCACATAGCATCTGGTGACTTTGAACCGCTGACCTTGCAGTTAGCAGCCCAGCACTGATAGAAATGGCGTTTTTTATTACTGAGTTTTATTTTCACATTTTAATCTTTTGTGTTAACAAGTTCTCTCATAATTCATAGTGGATATATATATATATATATATATATATATGCTTAATAATTTCTTACCAGTTGTTGAATTTGCCAATCACAACAATGAATTCATAGTAGCATACTTGGTTTCCAAGTTCTGGAGTGATAGTTTGGTACCAGTTACTTTAGGACTAAAGTGTAAAATATGAAGGTTGTGTTTATTGATCCTTACAGATATGTCTTAGTATTTGATTTCCCGTGGTTAGTTTTGACATCAAATGACAGAAGAGATCTAATTATATTAAAAACCATAAAGTCATTTTATATGGGTTGACATAAAAGTATGACTTTTTAATCAGTGTTTTGGGAAGGTCAGGGGCTTCTGAAAATGTGAGATGAGCTATATCATCATTCGTCACAAAAATAAATATACTTACATATGAAATCTTGTATAAATTTATTTGATTTATTTATGATTGATTCTCTAGAGCAAAGATTCTTAACCTTTTTTGTGTTGTGGACTGGTAACAATCTGGTGAGACCTACTGCACTTCTTGGACTAATATTTTAAACACATAAAATAAAATTTATAGTGTCTCAAAGAACAAAAGTAAAATAAAGACGCACTGATGCTCATGGAATGTACACCACTGTGTATGACCCAAGTCAATGAGCACTTTATTAGCAATTAAAAAGTTCATATAATGTACTTCAGTAATTCCTACCATCAGAGCAGAGCCCATCTGGTATATATTCATTTGTGCACTGATCCATGTTATAGAAAGGCATGCTACCCTATAGACAAGAATTCTCATTTGAACTGTACCATTTGCAAAACTTTAATGAATAACAAAAATGACTCACCTACATATTAATCAACCAACAATTTGGAATTGCAGAATGACTGACAATAGGAAACAATGGGCAAGTAATAAGTGTGAAAACTTTGCAGGATATCTGGACCAACTGTAATATGAATTGAAAATTATTTCTTTGGATGGTATATAGCAGATATTTCTAGAACTGCTATGGTTTTTAGTCTGCCATCATAATTGAAAGAAATTCTAATTGGAAGTGTTTCGTGAGAGTAGACCAGAGGAGGCTGCATTGACACAATTGCTGGGCTGGACCCCGCTGGGGTAACTGTTGCAGCAGAAAGCATTGCAGGGTGCCCTCCCTAGTGTGAGGATTCCCTGCCCCCAGAATCTGGCTCCATAATTAGTCCCTGGGCGACTACACATGGCACACAGTGGTAAGCAGAGTTGGTAAAGGTGTTTTAGATCAAGAAGACTACACCTTGCCTTGGAATACACAAGACAGAAGTAGTGGGAGGCTGTTTCCATGGTTATTCAAGAGAAAAAATTTGAAGGGGGAGTTTCCTGATTAGAAGTGGCATATAAATCACTATAAAACTGGATAGTGGAATAGATCATAAAGATGACTAAGTTACTTTAAAAAAAGAAAAGAAGAAATTCCAGTTGGAAGTTCAGAGAAAATCCTTCTCTCATTGTATGCATCGACCTCCTGTGGATGTGAGTACCCTACATGAAGAATTCCTAGTTATTTTTCCTGACTCACTGTCATCCTATCAATAATGACCCTTTAGGACAAGATAAAACTGCCCTGTGAGTTTCTAAGACTGGAACTCTTTGCAGGCAGAGAAAGCCTTATCTCGGTGGGTGGTTTCAGACTGCTAACCTTGTAGTTAGCTGCCCAAAGTGTAACCACTACACCATGGAAGAATCAGCGTCTTTGAATCGTGGTGCTGGAGAGGAATGTTGAAAGTACCTTGGGCTGCTGAAAGGACAAATCAACCTGTGTGGAAAGAAGTCAGCCCAGAAAGAAGGAATACCGTAGAGGCAAGGATGGCAAGACTTTGTCTTACGTGTGTTGGATGTGTTGTCAGGAGAGACGAGTCCCTGAAGAAGGACTTCAGGTTGGGGCAGTGAAAGGAGGAAGGCCCTCAACAAGATAGATTGACACCATGGCTGCATCATTGGGTTCGGGGATAGGAACAATTTTGAGGATGGCACAGGATCATACACTCTTTAGTTTTGTTGTGCATGGGGACAGCTGGATGTCACTGAACAGCAGCATCAACGAACTGAACTAACAGCCAGAGCCCCTCTCCTGACAACACACCCAACATACGTAGGACAAAGTCTTGCCATCCTTGCCTCTAAGGAACACTCTGGGCTGACTTCTTTCCACACAGGTTGATTTGTCCTTTCAGCAGCCCAAGGTACTTTCAACTGTAGCCAGAGCCCCTGGTCCATTACCCAAGAGCTGCCCTGCCTCCCCCACCCAGAATCTAAGAGAAAGGAATGCTTTGGCACACCCACAATCTGTTCTTTGGGAAGCTTTGTTCTAAGGGTTCAATTATCATATGACTCAGAATTCCACGCTTATTTACACACAATCATTGGAAACATGTTCTCACAAAAACTTAAGCATGAATGTTCAGAGCTGGTTTATTAACAATAACTAAAAAAGTGGAAACAACTCAAATGTCTATCACCAGAAGAATGGATAAGCAAATTATGTTATATCTATACATTGGTATATTAATCAGCCATAAAAAGGACTTAAAGATTGATGCATTCCATGACATGGATGTATCCTGAAAGCATGACAGTAATTGAAAGAGGCCAGTCACAAAAGACCAGATATTGTGTGATTCAATTTATATGAAAAGTTCAGAATAGGTAAATCCATAGAAACAAGTATTTTCCAAGAGAGTTAGGGAAAGAGAAAAATAGAGTGTTTTCTAGAATGTTGTGGAATTAGATTGTGGTAATGCTCAAACAACAGTTAGAATATACTAAAAACTTCTAACGTACACTTTTTTTAAAAAAGACTGCCAATTTCAGAAAAAGAGAAACTATTTATACTTTTATAACACTAGGAGTTCTCAAATTTGCCAAGTCTTCTAAGAAGAAATACTACTCTGAAATTCAAATTTTACATTTGAAAAACCTATTGCTATAAAAATTGTGTGTGTGTGTGTGTGTGTGTAAGGGGTTTTTTCCTATTGTTTTTTGTTTGTTTTAATTCTTTGTTCAACTAGGAAAAACTCATTGTGTCCAATGAGCAGGAAGTTCTCCGAGTTCATTACAGAGCTGCAAGAACATTGGCCAATCAAACATTGCCTTTTAGTGCTTGTACTGTTTTGCTGGATGCAGAAGTATACAATGCTCCGCTGGATTCTCAGGTAAAATACCAATGGTATATTTAGAATTCTCTTGAATATATAACTAGATTACTTCTAAAATGTTTACATAGAATAAACTTAAATACAATACCAAAGTTCAAAGGAAAAAATGCTTTCAGGCCTTAGAAGTATTTTGGATTGACTAATCTTCTGTATTCTAAAGTCCCTTAAACTTAAGATTTATATTATAAAGTTAGATATTAATGAAATATATATGTTTAGGGTAGTGCTCTTACATATAAATTTTTATTTGTCTTACATTTAACTTGTGTTCAAGGTACAAAAGAGACCCCGGTCGCAAATATAACTTAAAGATAACTTTTTAACTCTGGTGGCATAGTGGTTACTTGCTGGGGTGCTAACCCCAAGGTTAGCAGTTCAAAATTACCAGCTGCTCCTCAGGAGAAAGAGCAGGCTTTCTACTCCCTGTAGAGTTACAGTCTCGGAAACCCTCAGGGGGGCAGTTCTCTCCTGTTCTGTAGGGTTGATAAGAGTCTGAATCAACTCCATGGCAGTGAGTTTGTTTGGGTTTGGTTTTTATTAAATCTCAAAAGGGACAAAGAACACGAAGACTCATCATCCAGATGAGGGAGGCCATTAACGTGAGAACCCAAGGTCATAGTGGTGTCCAAGGGTTCAGTTAGGACTCTAGTTAAATAGGACATGGAATAAAGGGAACAAACTGTCACAGATCCATGATTTTGGTGGCAGATCAAGACATCACAGGTACAAGTGGGACCCCAGAAATGAGAACAGGGCCATGACTGGGACACATATTATGCTAGATAGGGGAAGTTACAAGATTGGGTGAAGGCCTTCCGACCAAAACAGGGCACAACCATAAAGAGTGGTTCGTGGCTCGGGTTATCTCCAGGACTGTCCCTCAAAGACACACTCAGGCGAGCTCCAACAAGATACTGCCCTTCCCTGGCCTGGCTGGAGAGAGGTGGAAGTAATCCATCTTCCAATACACGCTGCCTGAGGGCAATATTATCTACATCCTCAGTTAATGATCAGAAAGAATTCCATCCATGTGGGGCCTGCAAATAAACGTTGGGTTTGCACTACCGTCTGCAAATGGGGTGCTCAGAATTTAAGCTAAAACACACTTGTAATTTGTTTATAAAATCTTTATGCATAGCTTCTCAGTCTTTTGGGTGTAGTAAAATCTTTATGCATTTCCTGGTAGCTTCCTCTACGGTGAAACGTTTCTTCTCCAATGAAAAGGCAATATAAGCAGGTGGATCCACTAGGTTATATACAGGGACTTTAGAAAGTTACTAGAAAAATGGAATTTAAAAATAATGGAATTTTTCCACAAACTCTTTGAATCCCCCTTGTAACATTATCCTGCTCTGATCTTGGATTTTGGTAGAATAAATATAACTGAAAATGTGTGTCTGTTTCTTTTTTTAATGAAAAGCAAAAATTATAAACACAGACATTGAAGGATTACCACAGGAAATACCGAGAAATGCTATTCTAAAACAGACAAACTAGTAAAATAAAGGGGAAGAGGGTCTATCTTATCGTTAAGAAAAGGAAACTGAGCCAATTTGATGATTTTTCAAATTCTCTTACGCCATCAAATAATTTATACCAGTGAAAATTTTACACAATATCTGAATTAACTATGAAAATGAGTCATTGGACTTTAAAGAACTCTAAGGAATAAATACTGGGCAGGCCACTAAGGGAGTTTCCAGAATTTCCAGCTTTAATGATTTTAATAACTGAAATTTCAGTTTAACTCTGTTGATACAATTATAGAGTAATGAAATAAATTTTCATTTTTAATGGTTGAGTAAGCAAGTAAGTATACCTGCTTAACTTTTCCTCTCTCCCAAGACTTACTGTAATGACAAAAATAAATTTCAACCTAGTCTGTTATTCCAAAATGAATACTCTTAAGAATCAATAAAGAACTTTCCTATGAGTATTCATTCAGTACTTCTCCATTAAGCTCTAATATTCAAATGTAATCAGATAATTAAGTCAAAAGGACTTGATGTTAATAAAGGTGTCATCGGTGCAATACTTAGGGTCCGCCCAAGCTGTTAAAGGAGAAGCTCCTTTAGCTCACTGAGAGATAGTTAATCATAACCAAACCTGGAATACTGAGCCTTCCAATAGCAATCTGTCAGCTTGGTATGGACATAGAAACTATGAAATGTTAATATTCCCTTTATGTTCATTATAAATTCTATTTCCATAGTTCCTAAAAACGTCATGCACTATAAAAAGATGATACCGTGACATCGATTTTGAAGTGGCTGCGTGATATTTTATAACATTCAACTACTTTTAATGTTCTCTTTCAGTCTGATGACAGTAAAGCATCTGTGAGGGATCGCTTTAATGCAAGACAATTCATGTCGTGGTTACAAGATGTAGATGATAAATTTGACAAATTAAAGGTATGTATGTATAGAAACTCAGTTTAAATGAATGCTTCCTCCTTCATAAACAAAGAGAAACTGTAGCTATATTAGAATAATTAGGAAAGGAGACAATGGTTAGTCATAAATTTTTATGCTGGGCCACAATTGTAGCCGTTAAGTTCATTTTTAAGGATCAATAGAGTGCAAAAGATCAAAATGTCACAGAAAAAGTGAGTTCTAACTTGGATTTACATGCTCTTTACCCAGGTCACATGTCTAATTATAGTTCTAAAAATGAAAGACTGGTAAGAGAAATATATTTTGTAAATCTGTAAAAAAATTATTTTAAATTTAATCATTTTCCTTATTTTCAGAATTCCTTTGATAATTTGAAATCTTATAGCTTGAAAGTACAGCTTTGAATGATTGTTGTAAGATAAATATGAAGTTGCAAACCCAGAAGTAATTGGCACATGGATTTGAATAGAATAAGACAGGAAATGATCAAGTGATTCAGAAACTTTCTGTAGTCCTCGTGTGCACCTCCAAGGAACACCGGTGGCACTGTGGATGAGGCATTGGACAAGGTCATAAGTTCAAACCCAAGGTCAGCCACTGAGAGAAAAGTCTCTCTGCTCCTATAAAGACTGACAGCTTCCTAAACCCTAAGGAGCAATTTTGCCTCATCCTATAGGATTGCTGTGAATCAGAATCAACTCAGTGGCAATGGGTTTGGTTTGGGGTTAATGTGCCCATCTTAGTCCCTAAAGATACTATAGATTTGATTTTTCAACAAAGTACATTTAATAGAAAAATCAATTCTTCTCTGCTTTTTAATAGACTTGTCTTCTGATGAGGCAACAACATGAAGCTGCAGCCTTAAATGCGGTCCAGAGATTAGAATGGCAACTAAAACTCCAGGAACTGGACCCTGCTACCTACAAATCTCTCAGCATTTATGAAATCCAGGAGTTCTATGTTCCCCTTGTTGATGTTAATGATGACTTTCAATTGACTCCTGTTTGACAGCCGTTTCTTCTTGGTGTCTTTTTAAATTCAGACATTGCACTGTGGAATACTGCCTCTTTACAAAAATACTGATAGTATACCTTGACAGTTAGTAAAGTTTGATGTAAGTTGCTTATGTAGTAAACACACACACACAGATATATATATACATATAAACAGAATTTATAACTGAAAACTATTATTTATACCAGTAAAAGGTAGCTGTTGCATTAGGGCATGTTGACCAATTGTGGTAAGTTAAAAAGTTGAGAATCTGCTAACAGCGCTGGAAGTTGTTAGCCATCTAAAGAACAAGATACCCACTAGTATTCAAATATCTTTCAGATTTTATTAAAAATATGTCAGTATATGAAAGGGGGAAATATGTCAGTATGCTAAAAGTTTTAACTCAAATAATTTCTAATGTGGAAAATATTTAGCACAAAATTTCTTCAGTTTATTATATGTGTAAAAAATTGTACAGTGTTCTTTAAAAATTTTTAATACTGTCCTTTTTAATAACTTATTTTATACATATTGTGCAGATGTAAATCTTCTAATTAGCGGTCAAAGTGTATGCAAAGGGATTGGTAATAAAACACGCAAACATAGCAATTCTTAAACTGTTTTGTGTACTTTGTTATTGGACCAGAGTTCTGGTTTATATGGAGTGCAGAAGGAATGTGTTTAGGTAACAAAACTTTGACTAAGCCACGCATGTTTGAGTCAGCTTGTTTTCATCACCGCAACTAGAAAAGTGTAACTTGGTTGTATTGCATGCTCTCTGTAATTTAACTCCAGTTGATACCTAAATGGTGGCACGTTTCTTATTACCCACTTATGACAGCACCTATCTATGACTTAACGGTGTTAAATATATTATTTAGAATTAGCACACCAAAAATATGTAGCTTTTTTCATGTCACAGTAGAGCTATCCCCCCCAAATGCCTCTGAATGAAAATTTTGAAATTGTAAATCCATATTTTAATACTCCATGATGAAAAATCTGTGACTCTATGTAAATATGTTTAATAAATTTTATTGGTCATGTTAACTCATTGTAAAACTTTTTTTATGACAAAAATTGCTTACATTTAATATTTTAAGCTTAATAGCCTTTGCACTTTTAAAGTAAAAACTGAAAAATCAGGAAAAAGATATATTTGGTAGTTAAAATAAGTATAAAAGAAAGTTGGGCATATTTTAATCAATCTTGACAGTGTTTGTGCAATATTGATTAATATGTTGTATTTTCTCCTATCAAGATGCAAAACATAATTTGCAAAAATCTTACCATTTAAATAAAATTTGATATGCTGTATTATAATAATTAGTAATATATGTAGAAAATCCAGTATGTCCTAAAACATTATATAGATTAAATATCCTTGCATGTTTCAGATGTGAAACCTACTGCTAAATTTGTTTAAAAATTTTTGGTAAAATTAATCCATAGTTCTCTGAGATAAAATTTATAGAATTTTCCATAATACATTCTTGGAATACAAAGTAATTCTGAGTGTTTTTTGTTCTGTTAGGAAAAAAATTAAAGGAATATATGAGCAAGTGTTTTAAATGCGGCTTGTTAGTTGGAAATTCTAACTACTAAAAGATGTAAAATTGAGGTTTTTTAGTGTAAAGGTATATATTAAGCTTTAGGATTTTTAAATTTTCATATTACTTTATATTTTAATTCATATTTTACTTGGCATGAGTAATATAGTCACACAGGTAAAAATTACACAGTGAAAAGACTTTGTTAAAAGATTGGATATAGTTCTCTTTTGAATAAATAGGGTCTGAGAGGCAGGGTAGATTTTTAAGCATTGGTCTTGTTAAACTTAATTTTATTAAGACTGGCAACATTAAAAACTAATTTATAAAAGCAATATTTTTCATGAGAAATGTAATTATCTTTGTTTTGCCTAAAAAGGATATCTAACGGGATACTATGGCAAATCATAAACATGAAAAAGTCAACTTACTGAGTCATTGAAGTTAGAGAAAATACCAGAGGGGTGAGTTTTCAAAGCATTTGTTCTGACAGTCCAACCAGAGAAGAAGGGAGGAGGTAGGATCATTGTTTGACCAAAGAGAACAAGCTACAGAGGAGAAAAGCAGTCAGGAAGGAATCTGGCATCTTTCAGTCCTCTCAGTCTTTCAGCCACAATTCTCCACCTCTTCAACTGTACCTCAAGAAGTCAGAGCCTCTCTGCCAGGATTCTGCCTTCTACAAATTTGCTTTATTAAATGATTTAAAGTTCATTGGAATACCTTAAAAGAAAGTTAATGGCTTTCTCATTGAGAACTTATAATTAACTAAGTAGTTAAGGACTTTTGATATTAAAGATGCTCTGAAGCTCTGGAACCCTAAGGGGGAAAATGGAATGGAGAATATGCTTAAAAGGGTTTTGGATTCTGAAAGAAAAAAAAAGGATGATTCATTCAATGTGTGTGGTTTTTTTTTATTTCATATATCATGAACAAGATATTAAATTGTATTTAAGGATTTGAATTTCTTTAAATCTTGTTCTAAATAATATGTTTTATAAATTTATTGTGCATGCTATTTAATAAAGAGTTATATTTTTATAGAAAAAATAAGAGTAAAGTGCTGTTTTTTACATTTTAATTTTCTACTCCTATGTGGCTATACAGGAGTTCTGGTGGCATAGTTGGGCTGCTAACCTCAGGTCAGCAGTTTGAATTTACCAGTCCATCATCAGGATAAAGATAAAGTTTTTCTGCTCACGTAGAGCTGTACAGCCTCAACAACCCAAAGAGATAATTTGAAGTCAGAAACTACTCATTGTCAGTGAGTTTTATGTGATTATGTCCAAATACCAATGTGTATTCAGTTGGGCACCTGAAAACTGCAGAAATATTTGTTCTGGGGAAACAGCTTCTGAAGAATTAGCCTAGTATATAAAATCTTTTCAATAATGAGAGGTCTTGTGATAACTTGTTTTTCCCAAAACCATTTAATTAGGAGCTAATCCTGACATCATACCATTCCAGAGTTCAATTATATCAAGAAGTGTTGTACAATTGCTACCAAAAGCCATTTTAAAACATCTTCTTCCTTGATCAACTCCCCTATTTCCCCCTCAAAGACCCCCCAGAAACCCTTATCCGAGTTGTTGTCACTAGATTTACCTATCCTGGGTTTTGTAAACTGAAAAGCACAAAACAGAGGGTCAAGAAGGCTAGCAACAATGACAAAATAAAACAGAAACCCCAATACTCTCTGTCTGATGCCCAGGTTATTCCCCTCCCTCAATCATCCTTACAGGGAAATCACCAGAGGCTATTCCGTGTGCAGATCCTGCACGTGGATTTTAGTCGTCCACTGTCATCTATAGCCTATGGCATACCAGAATCTCATAATTTAAGCTCTGATACTACTCCCTCCTTCAGATTGGGATTATTTAAATTACAATTCTGGGATCATGGATGTTGGTGTGTTTCTTCCATGTGGCCTAAGTTGACGTCTCACTTAGATGGCTGCTTGTTTGAAAACAATCCTCAAAGACCCCAGACACTGTTCTATGCTGTTAGCCAAGACCTCCCAGTACCATGTTGAAAAAGAGTGGGGACAAGGAGCACTCTTGTCTGGTCCCCTTTTTCAGTGAATTGTATTCGTCTTTTCTCCATTGACTACCACGTTGGCTGTTGGTTTTTCATATATAGCTTGTATGATCTTGAGGAATTTTCCTTCCATTCTTACCTTCTTGAGTGTCTTAAACAGGAATGGGTGTTGGATGTTGTCAAATGCTTTTTCCGTATCTATCGATATTATCATATGGTTCTTATAGTTTTTCATGTCAATGTGACAAATAATACTGATGGTCTTTCATATGTTGAACCATCCCTGCATCCCTGGTATGAATCCCACTTGGTCGTGGTGGATTATTTGTTTTATATACTTTTGTATTCTATTGACCAGTATTTTGTTAAGAATTTTTGCATTGATATTCATTAAGGATAATGGTCTGTAGTTTTCAATTCTATTGGGATCCCTGCCAGGTTTAGGTAACAGAGTTATACTAGCTTCATGGAAGGAGTTTGGGAGTTTGCCATCTTTTTCTATGTTCTGGAATTGTTTGTGTAGGATTGGTGTCATTTCTTCCCTGAATGCTTGATAGAATTCTCTTGTGAAGCCATCTGGTCCAGGGGATTTTTGTTGGTTATCCCTTGATAACCTTGTCTATTTCTTCTATTGCGATGGGTCTGTTGAGATTCTTGACATCCATTGGGGAAGTCAAGGAAAGGATTGTTTTTCCAATAATTTGTCCATTGGACAATCTTCCAAATCATTGAATTGATTGGAGTACAATCCTTCGTAGTACTGTGTAATTATCCCTTTGATTTCATTAGGGTCTATTGTAATGTCCCCACTCTCATCCCTTATCCTTGCTATTGAAATTTATTCCCTCCTTTCTTTGGTTTGGTTTGCCAGCAATCTCTTGATTCTGTTTATCCTTTCAAACAACCAACTTTTAGCAGCATTTTTTCCAAAGTTTTCTTATTTTCCCTCTCCTGAATCTCAGCACTGATTTTTATTATTTCTTTTCTTTTTCTATTAGTAGGATTGTCCTGTTGACTCAGCTCTCATTGTGCTACATTTTGTGCCAGCATATCAATCAAAAGTCTCTCTTCCTTTTTCATGTGTGCATGTATTGCTATGAAACTTCCTCTGATAACTGCCTTTGCTGTGCCCCATAAATTTTGGTATGTCATGTTCTCATTCTCATTGGTTTCTAGAAATTTACTAATTTCATCTCTGATCTGGTCCAGTACACACTCCTTTTGCAATAGAGAGTTATTCATCCTCCAATTGTTTGCCCTTGTTTTCTTCCTCCTTTTGTTGATTTCCAGCCTTATGGCACAGTGGTCAGAGAGAGAGGTCTGTATGATATCAATGTGCTTAAATGTATGTAGATTCACCTAATGCCCCAGCATAGGGTCTGTCTTCGAATATGTGCCATGCGAGCTTGAAAAGAATGTGAATTTTTCTGTATTTGGATGAAAAGCTCTGTAAATATCTATCAGGTCAAATTGTCTAATTGAATGTTTAGATCTCAGGCCTGCTTGTTGAGTGTCTTTCCCTGTGATCTTTCTCAGAGAGTGGTGTATTAAAGTCACCTACTGTAATTGTTGAGCCTGTGATTTCTTTTTTCATCTTTTGGAGTGTTCTGTTGACATATTCAGTGGGTCTCTCATTTGGGAAATATATGTTTTAAATGCTTGGTGATTCTGTCTAACATTCCCTTGAGCATTACAAAGTGTCCCTCCTTATCACTTCTTATGGTTTAAAGTTTGAGGTCAATTTTATCCAAGATTAGGATTGCAATCCCTGCTTTTTTTGAATTGCTGTTCACTTGATTTGCCTTTCCCCAGCCTTTGAGTCTCATCCTATTTTTGTCTGTAGTCTTGAGATGTGTCTCCTGTACGCAGCAGATTGATGGGTTGTGTTTTCTAAGTCGGTCTTCAAGCCTCAGTCTTTTAATGCCTGAGTTCAGTCCAATGATATTTAGGGTTAATATCTCCATCTGTGGACTCTGTGATGTCATCTTATAATTTTATGCTGGGTGTTATCCTACCTCCCTTTTTTACCAACAGACATGCGCTTGACCCTGTCCGTCATATGTTGCGTCGTACCACTAAGTGGTCATTGTTCACCTCTCAAAACATGGATCCCAGCTGACATGAGGACACCTCTGTCTAAGTGTCCTTCAAGATACACACAGAGAGGATGTTGCATGGTTTATGGGCACCAGGTCGGCTCTCTATGGTGCTGCCTGGACACCCTGGCCAGCAGACTGGATGGCTTGCCAAAGCCAGCTCCCATCCTGGCGCTCATCCCTGTAACAGTGGACACATAACAGCATATTGTCCTTTGGTGATTGACTAACTTCACTCAGCACACTAGTTTCCAGATCCTCCCTGTCATAAGGTGTTTCATGGTTTCATCGGGTTTTTTTGTGATGAGTGGTGTTCCATTGTGTGTTTATACCAAAAATGTCTTAATCCATTCATCTGTCAATGGGAATT